ATGAGTTCTTCCCCCTGTTTTTTTTTTTTTGTTTTTTTTTTTTTCTTTTTTCCACACTACACAAGACTTCATTTTTCATTCTCATCATAATATAGAATATAGATCTACTTTAGGTGAAGAACCAACCACATGAGCCAGCTTCTTCCTTGATTGTCCAAAGGGTAGGAGTTTCTATGAGCTACAAAGGTATTTATAAAAATACACTTTATCTATATTGTGCACTAACTATTCTGTTGAACCAGCAAAGTAATCCACCACTGAAGTATCTGTAGCAAAATTCAATAAGTTTGCAGAGCAAGGACAAAAGTATGCCTTCCTCTTAAATACCTTTGAATGACCTTTCTTTCCAAGACACCACTGTAGCAGCTTTTCTTGCACTGTGTGCAAGAAATATCTGTGGGGTAATAGAATAGAATAGACCAGTGGCAATAGACCTTCAAGCCCAAAATAGTCCAACTGTCTGACAACTTCAGGGCTAATAATATCACTCAAAACTTTCAAAGCTGAAGTTAAGTACTATTGAGTATACAGGCTCTTTGCTTTCTGCTCAGGAGCATTTCTGTTCACCTGTGTAAGGAAAGAAAGCCATACTGGATGGCAGCTGCTAATCTCATTAGCAAAATCTAAACACCTCTAGTTGACATCAATGATTTTAATTGTTGCAATGAAGATGAGATACAATTACTCTCTTCAAACTAAGACATCAGTATTTAAAGGATATGGAAATTTATAGGGAGAAAATAGAAGAGAAATAACAAATAGGTTCCAAATTACCAGATGAATGAAGTTCTGTAAGCTCTCTAATAAGAATAATAAATCTGTTGCAGTGGAGAGTTGGTGGCACAGCTTCATATATCTAGGTAGTGTATTTTTGAAAAATACCAGACTCAGTATAAGATTTTGATGATGTGGAGAATTAATCTGTTAAAACAGCACCTGCTTTTCTTATCTTGGGAAAACTGTTTTCCTTTATCATAGAATCATAAAATCATCCCTCTACCACCAATATCACCCACCAAGCCATGTACCTAAGTACCCCACCCAACCTTTCCTTTAGTATCCCCAGGGACGGTGGCATCACCACCTCCCTGGGCAACACATTCCAATGCCTGACTGCACTTTCTGACAATAAATTTCTGTACTTAAAGGGGTCTTATTAAAAAGATGAAAAAGGACTCTTTACTCAGGTAGATATGATACGATGAGGGGGAATGGCCTTAAACTAAAAGAGGATAGATTTAGAATGGACATTAAGAGGAAAGTCTTCTCTGTAAGTGTGGTGAGGCACTGGAGTGGGTTGCCCAGAGAAGCTGTGGATGCCCCATCCCTGGAGGAGTTCAAGGCCAGGCTGGATGGGGCTTTGGGAAACCCGGTCTGGTGGGAGGTGTCCCTGCCCATGGCAGGGGTGTTGGAACTGAGTGATCTTTAAGGTCCCTTCCAACCCCAGCCATTCTATGATTCTATGACAACACAATGACAACAGAAGGCACCAGACATTGTGAGTATTCATACTTTACCCTATGATTCCCCTGTTTTCAACAGTGATATGCAAATCCTCTACCAATGTTTTCAAGTAAATAATTGAGTAACCACTCTGTCAAGCCTCTTTCATGAGATTACACAGTAAATCCTTTCAAACTAAAGTGGAAGAGTGGAGATTATCTTCTGCTTTGTAATCCCCTTTTCCCTTGATGAAAACAGATTGTGCTGATGAAATGTCAGACTGAAGAAACAGTGTAACGAACTCAAATGATTAGACATTGGATGGGTGTGAATATTTGCCTCTCTGTTCATTAATCTTGCATAGGATCACTTAAACCACAAGAGTGTTTCTTCCTTCTTAGCTGCTCTTTCTGAAATATTTGGCAGGTTCCATGGTGAAAGTGTCTGATTAATCAGCTTCTGCAATGGTTTCCTATTGTGTCATCTTGTTCCCTGGAAATTCAGATTTTTAGGAAGTGGTCAGAAAAGACTCATTGAATTTCATTACAATCAATTCCAGTTAGGAGAAAATTATTTAAATTATGGGCCCAGGAATTTCTAAGGTGAGGCTGAAGTTCTTTGAAATGCCAACACATGCATTTCTTGGAATAGTCTTAAATGGATTTAGTAGCATTCCTCCTGCTCTGTGCCAATGTAAAAGGAAAAGTTTGGCAATGGAGTAACCTTGTTTCTGGTCCTCATAGTCCAATTTCCATTTCTTTTCTGTTTCCATCTGATGATCTACTGAGGACTGTAATTGCAACCAAACTAGGAATTGCCTTTCACAATATTAGTCACATTTTCGTTCTCTCTGTCATATGCATAGGCTTTTGGGCCAGGGAAAGAAAAGGAAAAAAAAAAAAAAAGAAGAAGAAATAAAAAAATAAGTGTTCTTTAGATGAACTAACTCATTCTAAGGGCTCTGCTGCAATAGTTTGTAGCTAGACATGCATGTTACATAGTGGCTATAATTTGTGTTATAGTGGTATTTACATTATGGAGCTGTAAGAGGCCTCCTGGAATTTTAAAAATACAGAATTAGCATATAATGGTAAATGAGTAGTGATATTTTTTAAGGTCTGGGATGTTAAGATTGGGAAGACAAGTTCAAGCAGAAGTTGATACCCATGCATTTGTAGTTCAAAGACAGATGAGTCAGCTTTAAACTGAATTGCCTGGGTACCATTAAAAGTATAAACAGCTTGAAGATTTTTGGAGCTGAGGATTTACCCTATTCCTCTGGCATGGCTTGAAGGCTGTGCTGAGCCTGATGCTGCTGCAAATCTAGGCTGTTCCCAGGGTGCTTCATCTAAATTTAGCCTAAATATCAAGGATGTGTTTCAGACAGAACAGACATTCATTTTCATGCATCTTTAAAATCCTTTCATGAATCCTTTCATGATCTTGTTGAAGAATTTCTGGATTTGATCCTCAGGAATGCCACATCCTGCCAGCATTCATGAAATGCCCCTACGGCTATCAGCAGGCTAAAGCATCTGTTGGCAGACCTACATGTATGTATTGTGTCAATGAGAAGGGTGACACAACCAACTCTAGACTGAGCTCCCAGGAGCAGTTTTGCTGTTGGAGAGTATGCAATGTGAGCCGCAGTGAGCACTGTTTGGTGCTTACAGACACATCTGAACATTGAAGAACATTTTATGTAATGAATGCATGTCAGTAGTGATTGCTACGTGCCACAGGAAAAACTATATGTTGCTGGCTGCTGTCAATCCTTACAGTGTTCTTATGTTCTTGGTGAGTTGTTTATAATGTGAAAAAGAAAATCTTTCTCCTCTTAACAGTTTAATAACTAAGTTTGTTTTTCTGACAAAGGGTTATTTTTATAGCCAGTTTGGGACATCTTTATCTATTCCTTCTTTGTAGTGGCTGTCACTCCACTACCTTGCTTCAAAGACTCAGCTTATACCATTAGCCAACACTCAAATCTGTGTTACCCCAGCTCTGGTTTTAGCAGTACCTGGGCTGTTCACATGTAGTGTACACAGGCCACACAAGCTTGGCTAACCTGACTGCACAGACTGTAGAATATTGATGCATTCATTGTCAATCAACTCAAATTCCTTGTCAAATTAATCCTAAAATTATGTTAATAATAAGCATTCATGGCTCAATGTGGGCCAGTCACTTCTTCGCTTGTTATACTAGGTCTTTATGCCAAAATAAACAAAATTGGGATTCAAAGCTTCCCTGTTGGAGCAACGTGTATGAGATTTCCAAGTCATTTTTAAAGAGGTAATATTTCCATTATGCAATAAATATATATACAACTTTTTCCTAATTGGAACCTCATCATGTAGCCTTTAACACTGAAGAGAATAAATATTAAAAGTTTCTTAGCAGTTTAAAACTAAGGGGGAGAAAAATGATAAACTAAATGCAAATTATACCTTGGGATTTTAAATCATCTGGTGACTAAATTGTTCAGATCTGGATCTGATACATTTCAGAGTCTTTGTTAAAACAGATGTACAGGAAGTCTTGTTCAGCTTCATCACAGAAATCAAACAATAAAGAAGCAGACTTTGTGCTTATATTGACTTCCTTACTTCCAAAGAGGACAGACTGACAGGATCAGGCCTGTTTGCTGTGTAGTTAAATACTCACCATTCCCTTCCAGTGATGCATCATTTGCCATCTGATTTCTATGAACTCCTTATCAATGCCCTTTGGATAGCCTTTTCCCATCTTTCTTTGCCTTTCATCATATGTTTGGAAGAATTATGTTATGAATGCTATAAATGGACCAGTGTTAGCACTATTTTCTCATATATTTAAAAATATGTTTGGGATGACATGACTCCTTCCCTGCAATCAATAATTAAGATCTAAACCATACTTCTGGTACAGAAATTTGAATACGCGATATCAGAAAGCAGACAAAAGACTTTTCAGTCTATTGGTGGTGTATGAGGAGCAGTAAGACAACAAAGCTACCTACTTAGTCCCCTCTGCTGCCTCTCCCTCAGAGTAGCATGCAAGCCTTAATGCTTGCTCACTCCCAATAACCCTGCTATGGTTTCCTAGCAAACCTTTACTCCTCACCTCTTCAATTGGTTTAAGACTCTTTCACTTGGATTGTGCAGTTTCCATAGTATGGTCTGTATGGACACAGTAACACGTTCTGATACCTTAAAAAATGGACAGCATTGGCCAGAAAAAAAAAATGTTTGAAGAATTTGGTTAAAGGAAAAAATTTGTAGAGATCAATAGGAAACTGATCGATCTTAAAAAAATCTATAGAAACTGCAAGTATGAAACATAATTAGATTTGGGATAATGGAAGTTTTCTTGGGCTACTAGAAAAAAAAAATATCATCAAGATCAACTCAGTGTCTCTTCCTCTAAAGTGAGTTTTCCACTGTGAAATCAATAAAATGGAAAATCAAATTAAAATCTTAAATGCTACTTTTAGTGTTAGTCTTCAGGGAAACTCAGGTGCACTCCATTGGCTGATAACTTTACTAAATAATAACTACAGTAGCACAGACATCTGGTTTAGTTTCATCCTTATTTATTTTATTACCAGTGCCCGTGACAGAATATACACATGCTCTGTGTTCACCAAGTCAAATTAATTTCATACCTCCTACGAAGATTTTACAGCTTTTCCATATGTGGTTTCTTTAGAATGAATCAATGTGTTTGCTCAGTGGTTTACTCAGAACAGCTGTAACAATATTGCGTTCACTCTGCATCCTTATTTCATACGCTTAGTAAGTGTGAATTGATTTTAAGACAGGTGGGTCAGAATTTTCCCAATAACTTTTATTGGAAAAGTTTTAGCTATTTTCCCCCTAACTTCAACCCCCCTCCCCCCTCCCTTTTTTTTTGAGTAACTGCATTTTTTTTCCCATTTAATTTGCAAAAGAAAAGAAGATTACAAATTACTTAGACAGGTCAGAAAAAAATGCAATATATTAGATAGGAGAGAGAAATAATCTTTTTTTTTTTTTTTTTTTTTTTAGGTATGCAGATATATGAAATGATTTTTTTTTTTTTTTTACTGATGTTCTCTTCTCATTCTGCCAATTTTAAGATATTTTTATTCTTTATTTACTTAGCTATTGTAAGTATTTTGAATTGCATTTCTACTCCAAATTTGCCAGAAAATTTTAAGGACGATTAATTCTATTTTAAACGCAAGTTTGATAGGACTGTCTTCTGGACTCTGCTTATTTCTCCAGAGTATCTTCCTGGAGAGAGAATGTATTGAGGGCAGAAGAAGTACGCATGGCAAGAAGGGATCTACTACATGTATCTAACAAGTTATCTGTTGCATTAAGGCACTTCAGATACCTGCGAACTTTCTCTTTCGGTGGTTTGGTGTTTACAGAAGATCTGTAGATGAATAGTTTATCTCAGGACTATTTTGAGCACTGACTGTTTGGAATAGTGTGGGATAAAGATTTTGTGGGTCTTTCTCAACATTGGTTTCTTATTTGCCTGACTGCCAAACTGAAGGAGCCATGATTTTATGAACCATGCTTGTGTGTTCTGTTTAGCTAGGACATGAGAATATATCTCACTGAGCTTATGAAGACACCAGCCCTGGGGAGGGTGAAGAGATGGCAGAGCAATCTCTGCTTGCCTTTAGCTGTGCTCAGTGGAGGCACCCTCCACATTATTATTCAGAGACAGTCTAATATGTCCATGTTATTCTTGTGCTGGGGGTTCCAGAGCTGAACTCAGGGCTCCAGATGGGTCTCAGGAGAGCAGAGCAGAGGGAGAGAATCCCCTCCCTCATCCTGCTGGCCAGGCTGCTTTTGTTCCACCCAGGATATGGTTGGCTTTCTGGGCTGCTAGAGACATTGCTGGATCATGTTGAGCTTCTCATCAACCAACACCTCCAAGTCCTTCTCCACAGGGCTGCTCTCAATCCGTTCTCCACCCAGTCTGTGTTTGTGCTTGGGATTGCCCTGACCCAAGTGCAGGATCTTGTTGTTGGCCTTGTTGGGGCCACCTTCACAGGCCCACCTCTCCATCCTGTCCAGGTCCCTCTGTATGGCATCCCTTCCCTCCAGCATGTTCACCACACCCCACTTGATGTCATTAGAAAACTTGCTGAGGGTGCACTTGATCCCACTGTCCAGTTTCCAACAAAGATGTTAAACAGCACTGTTGGCAGAGCTGACATCTGAGGAACACCACTTGTCACTGGTCTCCACCTGGATATTGAACCACTGACTGCAACTCTTTGAGCATGACCATTCAGCCAATTCCTTGCCCACTGAGTGGTCCATTCAACAAATTCATGTCTGCCTAATTTAGAGACAAGGATATCATGGGAGCCAGTGTCCAGTACTTTGCACAAGTCCAGGTAGATGATGTCTGTTGCTCTTCCCCTATCCAGCAGTGCTGTAACCCCATTGTAGAAGGCCACCAGGCTTGTAAGGCATGATCTGCCCTTAGTGAAGCCATGCTGTCACCAGTCACCTCCTTATTTTCTATGTGCCCCAGCAGAATTTCTAGGAAGATCTGTTCCATGATATTGCTGGGCACAGAGGTGAGACTGACTGTGCTGTAGTTCCCTGTGTCTTCCTTTCTTCCCTTATTTTTTAAGAATGGGGGTTATGCTTCCCCTCTTACAGACAGTGGGAACTTCAGCAGACTACCACAACTTCTCAAATTAGGTAGTGGCTTAGCAGCTACACCAGTCAGTTCCCTCAGGACCTGCAGATGCATCTCATCAGGTCCCATGGTTTTGCACATCTTCAGGTTCTTTAGGTGGTTTCAGACATGATTTTCTCCTACAGCGGGTGGTTCTGCATTTCCCTGGTCCCTGAACCGCAGTCCAAAAGGGTCAGACTGTCATGTCATACACCTGTAATATTTGTCTCCCATAAAGAAGAGCATCTCCTTTTCATTCTTAAGGTAGACTGGTGAGAGGGGGACCCTGCATTTGAAATCTTTAAGTCCCCCAATAATGATGGCCTGAAAAAAGGAAAGATGTCATAAAAAAATTGTCGGCTTCTCAGTATTGCAGTAGCAGATATGGACCTTGAATATGAATTAGAAGGAAAAAGATGCCAATGTTATGATTCAGCACAAGTGAGAAAACAAAAACAACAACAAAAACTGCTACATGGTGCAACTGATATATGATGTATTTCCTTGGGATCTTTTGCCACCAGTGCAGGGTGTGCACTAGTCTTCCTGCATAGCTTTAGGATCTGACTAATGACACTAAAACCCTAAGGAGTGTTAGATCTGATTGAAAATGTTTTATTTTTTTTTCCATTTAAGCTAAGAGAAAATAGTTCAAATCCTAAAACATCTAATTTAATGTTTGGAAATTCTTCATCACTTCATGTCTTTAGGTAAAGTTTGGACTGATTTCTTAAAACAAACAAACAAACAAAATCAACAAAACAAACAAACAAACAAGCAACTCAACTGTAAGTCCTCTTGTATGGAAGATAACTGCTAGAGAAGTTCATAGTCTCTATATGGAAAATATGATTGTAAATGGCTCCTTCCATATTTAAACTTTTGGTATACTTACTTTCACTTAGTGTTCAGCAGTATTAACTGTCTTCAGTAAGTGTTCTCCTCTGCAGGCATAACTTTCCTATACAGAGCTAGAACTTCTGTACAAGACATGAAATCCTAATTCACATATAATTATTCCAGTAACTCTTTAGGAAACTAGGACATTGCTATAAATGAGCAAACTGCAGACAATATGAATAAAAGGTAGCTTAGAAGTATGCACAATTTATTTTAATTTTGTGTTTTGGTTGCTAAAGATAACCTTAACTGTCAGATCTTTCTCCATCTCCAGCTAACTGATCCACAAATTGTCAGCTAGCTTTAGAGATTCACAGTCTCAGTGATGGCTCTGTACTCCAGTGAACCAAACTAAAGATCTAAGTTACAGACAGCTGTGGTTGTCTTTCAAGAGGCTAGTAGGATTGAGAGTTTTTCTTTCCTAAACAATTTTACTTTTTTTTTTTTTTTTTTTACTTTTTTTTTTTTTTTTCCTCTGAAATAACTGGTCTTTGAAAAAATAAGACAAACCCCTCTCAGGAACTTCATAAAAAGCATCAACATATGATGCAAGCTGAGGAAAGGAACTCCTGATGGCCTTTGGCTGTACCTTTGTGGTCCTCTGACCCTGCCTACTCCAAAAGAATCTTTTTGGGAAACAGCCTCTGAGAAGGATGGTCAGTGCTCCTCACAGTGTTTTAGGGGGTTCTGCTTTGATCAGTGAAAATCGGCAGTGACTCTCTTGCCAGCTGCAACCTTGTGTTCCCTTCAGATGAAGAGATTCAAGAAACCTGTCAGAGTTGTGCCACTGGACTAGCGAAAAGGAACTTTCAGAAGCAGTTTTGGATGTCAAGCATGGATTCATCTCTCCTGACTTCAGAATGAAACATCTCGTTCCCCCAGAATGTTTCTCTTCACTGCCACTAACATGCAGAAGATTAACTTTCATGTAATCACCTGTATAATAATTTCATAAAGGCTGAATGAAGGTTAGGTGAAACAGATGTCACCCTCAGACTTCTTAAAATTAAACATCCTGCCTATGTTTTACCGCCTGCTGCTAGAATGGTCTAGCCCAAGATGCTTCATGTCAGATAGCCTGGGATGGCACAAAGTTCTGGTTGAGAAAGCCTCCTCTTTCATGTTTCAATCCAAACATATGATTCAGGTAGAACAACCTAAAAGACTGATTTTGCCGGCTTCCACCTAGCAGGCAGAAAGCCAGGTTCACCTTGTAGCGAACCCATTGAGAGGAGTCCATAGGAAATCTGCACTGTATTTGCTGCAACCATGATTGATTCTTTGGTCACAGTGAGCCAATAGCTACCAAGATAAATGCTGTGTGGACCAGGAGTGGGAAGAGTAGCATAAGACAGCTGAAGGACTACAGACAGGACTACAGCACCTCTGCGGTATGTTGGCTGAGTCCTCCTCAACTGTACTGCTGCATCTTGAGTAACATGTGGTGACCAACACTTGTTGCTCACGTATATATTCCTACACACCTACATATACACACATAGATAGGCCTATGCACTTAAATGTATGCATACATATATATATATGCATATATTCATCTGTGTGTGAAAGTATGCATGTTGAAAAAGGTTCTGTTTACCAGCTCTCCAAGGTAATCCTGTGTCTGTTCATCCTTCCAGTAGACCAATGTGTTTCACATTTGTTTGAATGAACAGTAACAGTCTCCAAAGGATATCCTGCTTTATAACTTCTTTCCTTTTTATTGCGGTCTTGTGGCTTCCTATGAGCCACATGTTATGTTGTCTCTTGTGAAATGGCTGCAGCAGCTGCCACTGATTGAAATTCTTGTCAAAGTCATCTAAATTCTCTTGTCACACTGCCAAGAATAAAAATAAATGGAAGCTATTTAAATGGGCATAAAATTAAAAGGAAAGAGACAAGGCAAGAAGAACAGGGAGTATTTCGTCTTTGGCCTCACTGGAAGCTGCTATACTGGCATCTGTGAGCCTGGTGTTAGAGGAAGTTTGAGAGAGATGGGTGGATGTTCAGGCTATGGATGGTATTAGTAAATTTTGTGGTACTGAAAAGCATTCCCAGGACAAAAATCTCAATCCAATGTACTGCTATATTGCTGGAGTGGCTCCTGGGTGGTTCCATAGAATTATTAAGGTTGGAAAAGACCAGCCATGCCCCTATCACCAATGTCACCCACTAAACCATGTCCCTAAACACCAGGACCAACCTTTCCTTAAACATTCCCAGGGATGGTGACGCCACCACTTCCCTGGGCAACCCGTCCCAATGCCTGACTACTCTTTCTGAGAAGAAATTTCTCCTAATTTCCAACCTAAACTTCTCCTGGCGCAACTTGAGGCCATTTCCTCTAGTCCTATCACTAGTTACCTGTGAGAAGAGGCCAACCCCCAGCTCCCCACACCTTCCTTTCAGGTAGTTGCAGAGAACAATACGGTCTCCCCTGAGCCTCCTCTTCTCCAGACTAAACACCACCAGTTCCCTCAGCTGTTCCTCAAAGGACTTGTGCTCCAGGCCCTTCACCAGCTTCATAGCCCTTCTCTGGACACACTCCAGGGCCTTGATGTCCTTCTTGTAGCGAGGGGCCCAAAGCTGAACACAGTACTCGAGGTGCAACCTCTCCAGAGCTGGGTAGAGGAGGAGTCTAAGATGTAGGTTGCCTGTCACACAATGGCTTCCAGCTCCTCCTGTTTGTTGCCCATGCTGTGTACATTGGTGTAGATGCACTTCCATTGCACCATTGACCTCACCCCCAACCCTGGCATTGCTCCCTCAGGCTCATCTCTATCGAGCCTCATTTCATCCCTGTCTCCCTTTGTACCTAGTTTAAAGCCCTCTTGACGAACCCTGCCAGCTCCCGGGCTAGGATCTGTTTCCTCCTTTGAGACAGGTAGGCCCAATCTGAAGCCATCAGGCCAGGTGCTGAGTAAACTGTCCCATGGTCAAAAAAAATAAATAATAAAAAAAATTCCAGCTATGGCACCAGCCTCTCAGCCATAGAGCCTCTCAGGCATTTCATCCCAATCCTCTGAATGATTCCCAGGAACTGTTTGGTATATCTTATACATCAAGGGCCATTCCCAATAACTGGTTTGGATGCTTCCAACCAATTTCAGAGAGTGAGCAAGTTAAATGGTGTGTCCGTTAACAATTCCATGCCCGTTCACAGAATCACAGAATTTCTACGTTGGAAGAGACCTCAAGATCATCGAGTCCAACCTCTGACCTAATGCTAACAGTCCCCACTAAACCATATCCCTAAGCCCTACATCTAAACGTCTTTTAAAGACTTCCAGGGATGGTGACTCCACCACCTCCCTGGGCAGCCTGTTCCAGTGCCTAACAACCCTTTCAGTAAAGAAGTTCTTCCTAACATCTAACCTAAAACTCCCCTGGCGCAACTTAAGCCCATTCCCCCTCGTCCAGTCACCAGGTACGTGGGAGAACAGGCCAACCCCCACCTCACTACAGCCTCCTTTAAGGTATCTGTAGAGAGCGATAAGGTTGCCCCTGAGCCTCCTCTTCTCCAGGCTGAACAAGCCCAGCTCCCTCAGCCACTCCTCGTAGGACTTGTTCTCCAGGCCCTTCACCAGCTTCGTCGCCCTTCTTTGGACCTGCTCAAGCACCTCGATGTCCTTCCTGTAGCGAGGGGCCCAAAACTGAACACAGTACTCGAGGTGCGGCCTCACCAGAGCCGAGTACAGGGGGACGATCACCTCCCTAGCCCTGCTGGTCACGCTGTTTCTGATACAAGCCAGGATGCCGTTGGCCTTCTTGGCCACCTGAGCACACTGCTGGCTCATATTCAGCCGACTGTCCACCATCACTCCCAGGTCCTTCTCTGCCTGGCAGCTCTCCAACCACTCATCTCCCAGCCTGTAGCTCTGCTTGGGGTTATTGCATCCCAGGTGGAGGACCTGGCACTTGGCCTTGTTGAACTTCAAACGTTGAAGTTCAAACGTTGTTGAACGTTGGCCCCCATGTCAGAGAATGCTCTCAAGTCTATTTGTTTTTCCTGCTATGGATGTAGCCTTAGCTTTTAGACTCCTTTTGAAATGCTGTTTTATGTGCTTCAGTTTAGTACCTCATCATATCAGTCCTTTGATTTCTCTTTTATCTGGTAATATTGGTTATATCTGTAACTGGAAATCGCTCCCCAGCACTGATTAATGCATTAGTCATTTTACTTCTTGTCTGTCACGTGTTTTCACAGGTGGTATCTCCTTCATGAACCTCAGAATGAGAGACTGAACAGCAGTAAAAGCCATGTTGTTTTTTTTTAAATTTCTTCCTTCTACAAATCTAGGCAATGACTCACGGGCCACAAAAGATATAGCAACCAATTTATGAAATCTGGGGCATTTCTCAGTTTCCTGAAGAAAAGATTATATAAAAAATAATACTAAATTGCTTTTTATTATTATTATTTTTTTAATATTAAATTACTTTTAATTTTAGGAAGTTTTCTTTATTTTCTGAAACTGTTTTTCATGGCACCATGACATGTTCTCAAAAAACAGAGTATTTTGCTGATAATCATTATTTATAGCAAGTGTTATCAGGGCACAAGTCCAATGATATCCTGCTTGACTCCCTGTCAGCTCATGATAGGCTGTGGTGAATTTTGGCTGTAGTATATAGTATTTCAGTGGGCTGTTGTTCCAAAATAGTAGTAGACTGCTGATTAATCGTTATCTGAAAGGACTACACTTTTTTTTTTTTTTTTTTTTTTTTGGGGGGGGGGGGAGGGGAAGAGATTCTTGGTCCCCTTAATCCCTGGCTTTGCACCAATGCACCAGCTGAAGTGGCAGGCCAGCAAAGGAGAAGTTGTCTCAGCTCAGCTGATGAATCAGAATTTGTCATTTCTGTTGTAAACTTGGGCTGGAATGGATCCAAACAACCATTTGCAGCCCTTTTCAAAGTGATAATTTGATTAAAAATTTTGCAGAAAGGGCACGCATCTGCCTTTATCTTCTGCAGTCTCTGTTGTATCTGCTCTGGAGCTAACAATTCCAGGTCAAACTGTGTGTTTCCAAACATCTTATAATCAAGGAGGGTCACTTGTCCCATAGCTCAGATCCCATTGTCTCTCAGAATATTTTTATAGAGAAGATATTGGAATCCTTAGAAGGCAGAGTGTCCTGTCCCATCCCATACCATCCCATTGTCTGTCCCCCTCCCCCTGGAAAGCATACATTTTTCATGTCTTCCAGAAGCTTATTGCCAACACAGAAACTCAGGTTTCAGTTATTCAAAAATGAAAATAAAAAAGACATTGAAAAACTGTGAAAAAAAAAACAAACAAAGCTGTACCAAATATCTAGAAACATTTCTTGAGTCAGGAATACACACTGGATGACAGAGTGTAAACCTTACCCATCTCCGAGGAAGAGAATTTCTTTTTCCAGGAATGCAACAATTTCCTAGAAATTCAGATGAGATTCTTGAAATCTGTGCAAGCGGTGATGTTTTTGTCTTTGGGAATGCTTTCACTTGGGTCAGATAACTGTGACTGGAGTCAGGCCTCTCTGGTAAACTGAAGGAAACAAGGAAGGAAACAAGGTAGGATTAGGCTCCTAAATCCTTCAGATGAGAAAATTTATATGGATGCTGGAATCAGACAGATGACAGCTGCCTGATCTGCCTCTGGGGCAGACTGGGAAAAAGATAGTCCAGATCTTTGAGGAGCCTGAGGCTTGGCAGAGAGGTCTTTAGACAGAGTCTTGTCAGATGTCTCATACATGTTGAATGTTGGTTGTTTTGACTAGGACCCAAGTGACAATGAGCAGAAGACACCAGTGTCGGATCTGACTTACAGGGAAGGGGTTTAGTGAGCATGGTTGAACAAGAGTTATCAGGAATTGAACGGGACCTCCAATGGTAATAGAGTTCAGTGGCATAACTGAGCTAACCCATCCAAACGCGACTAACAAAAAGTAATGGTATAAACAAGAAAGCAGGGTCAGATACATCATGCTACTATCCACATGAGTGTGGCAAGCTATCAAGGTGCAATCACTGACTACTGCTATACTAATAAAAGAAACAGGCTTGGAAACACTGTCCACTTATCTAAAATTATCTTTCAGAACAGAAAATTACTGCATGAGGAATTTCCCTGAAGTATACTGACTCCTGAATCATGCCCAAATGTCAGTTTGTTCAGGGCAAAGCTGTGCCAGGGACCAAGTTAATAAATTAACAGTATAGATTATCACTTCTCTGGCACTACTTAAGTTACTTTAATTTGGGTAAGGATCTAGTATGTCCCACAGACATTTCTGGACATTTCTGTTTCTCCTCAACACTACAAGTTGATAAATGTTTCAGCACTGATCTATGTGGTGTTTTCACACTGATGGGCAGCTATGCTCTGCCACGCCACACTCTTACTTCCCTTCCTCAAAAGAACAGGGGGATAAAATACCATGATAAAATGCTCATGGGCTGAGACAAGGACAGGGAGATCACTAATGAGCTACCATCACAGGCAAAACAGAGGTACTATTAGGAGATTAATGTAATTTATTAATTGCTAGCAGACTAGTGAGAACTAAAAACAAACTAGAACCACCTTCCCCCCATCCACCCTGCTCTACCTCCTCCCCATGAGCAGTGCAGGAAAACAGGCAATGGGGGCTGCAGTCAGTCCCTGGTACTTCGTCTCCGCTGCTCCCTCATGGTCCCTCTCTGCACCTGCTCCCCGTGGGGTCCTTCCCACAGGATGCCGTCCTTCCCGAACTGAGCCTGTGGGGGCTTCCCACAGGCTGCAGATCTTCAGGAACTGCTCCCACACGGCTCCGTCCCACGGGGTCCAACCCCCAGGAGCAAACTGCTCCAGCACGGGTCCCCCACGGGTGGGCGGCAGCTCCCCCCAGATCCCCTGCTCCTGCGGGGGCTCTCCATGGGCTGCAGCCTCCTGCAGGCCACATCCACCTGCTCCACCGGGGGCTCCTCCACCCATGGGGGGGCTGCAGCGTGGAGATCTGCTCCATGGGGGACCCATGGGCTGCAGGGGGACAGCCTGCTCCACCAGGGGCCTCTCCATGGGCCACAGGGCAACTTCTGCTCTCTGTCTGATTTTTATTTTATAATACTTCAATGAGTTTGTTTCGGATTAAGGCTTATCAGTCTGTTCATGTAGTATTCACTTTCCATACTGACCTCAAATATATCTCCTAATGTTGGATTTCATATTTCTGTAGTGGGTTTACGTGGCAAAGTTTTGGTAGCAGGGGGCCATAGGGGTGGCTTCTGTGAGACGAATCTAGAAGCTGTCCCATGTTAGGTAAAGGTCCTGCTGCTGACCAGAACCAAGCCAATAAGCGATGTTGTTTGTACCTCTGTGAGAGCAAATTGAAGAAAGAGAAAACAAAACAAAACAAACCAACCAAACAAACAAACGGCAGCTGGGAGAGTGAGAGGAGTGAAAAACTGCCTTGCAGGTGCCAAGGTGAGTGCAGGAGGGCAGGAGGTGCTCCAGGCATGCAGCACAAGTTCCCCTGCGGCCTGTGAAGAGGAACATGGTGGAGCAGGCTGTCCCCCAGCAGCCCATGGAGTACCATGGCAGAGCAGATCTCCATGCTGCAGCCCATGGAGGGGACCACAGTGGAGCAGGTGGACCTCTGCTGACAGAGGCTGTGGTCTGTGGAGGACCCCTGCCAGAGCAGATTCTGGGCTGGACCTGTAGCCCGTGGAGAGGAGCCCACGCAGGAGCAGGGGGTCTGGCAGGAGCTGCTGCCCATGGGGGACCCAGGTTGGAGCAGTTTGCTCCTGACGGATGGACCCCATGGTATGGACCCATATCTGGAGCAGTTGTTTAAGACCTACTGCCTGCAGGAAGCCCACACCGGATCAGTTCGGGAAGGATGGCATCCCGTGGGAGGGACCCCACTGCGCAAGAGATGAGAGTGACTAAGAAGGAGCAGTGGAGATGAAGCACTATAGACTGACCACAACTCCTATTCACCCGTTCCCCTGCAACACTCAGGGGGAGGAGGTGGAAGAGGGCGGATGGGGGGAAGGTGTTTTTTGTTTATTTCCTTTGTTTCTCACTTCTCTAGCTTGTTTGTAATAGGTAATAAATCTTATTATCTCCCTACTCTGAGTATGTTTTGCCTGTCACGATAATTGTCGAGTGATCTCCCCATCCTTATCTCAACACTTGAGCACTTTGCATTATATTTTCTCCCCCTTCCAGTTTGAGGAGGGGGGAGGGGGAGCGAGAGTGTGTCTGTGGTAGTTACACTTTTTTTTTTTTTTTTTTTCCAGCTACCTCAGGAATAGACTGATTTCTGGATGTTAATTTCAAGGACCAGTTCATATTTAGTTCCTTAAGTCTGAAAAATTAGAAGCTGTTTCCATAAGTTATTTTCATTTGTTCCAGTGGTCCACTTCTCTGCTTTAAGTGCCCCCTCCCAGTCCTTCAGCTGGGGCAAAAGCATGCAACTACTGCCCATGTGGGCCATCAGAGGGACAGGAGTCTTGATTATTTAGCAAATTACTGTAGAAGAAAGAGAAAACACACCACATGGGTTCAGAAACTATATCCGTAATGAGTACTGATGTGCATTTTTCTGGTGAGGAAAGCACATGCAACGTTAACCTAGGAAGCATAGACTGAGAGAAGGTGCCTTTTCAGAGCTGTGTTCATGAACAAAGACTGAAAATCTCTGGTGAAAGGGATTTATTTAGACACTTAAGGGAAGGAGAACAAGATTTAGAAAAGAGGTCATCCATATCCCTAGTAGTACAAACACAATGATTTGTGTCCACTTAGAGCATTCATCTGAAGGGGTAGGGCTGTGCAATGTCATGAAGTAATATTACAGTGTGGTTCTGAGCAATATAAAACCATTTTCTCATTCCAAGTAATTAACTCATGATTTGAATGTTATATGCATTCTGCTCCATGGATTTACCTCTCTAGCTAGGAAGGGATAAATCTGATATCAGCTGTGGTCTTCTACTGTCAAAAGATATCATAATAACTGCTTCTCCTGTGCTGACTGACCAAGTTCAATGGGGCTACAAAACTTCACATTTGTAACACCATCTCCATGGCCTTGCCCAGCTCTGCATGATAATCTGTTAGTCTGGGAATATATTTCATTATCCTATGAGGACAAAAATCTATTAGTGTGCCTTCCATTCTTTTGTATAGTTCCTCAAAATAAGCATTCAGATACTAGAATATAATTTATTCATTATTTTTTTTTCTGATAGTGTGGACATTTTCAGTTTGTTTTGTAAAAATAACAGGAGTTTAATGGTGTTTTTCAGTGATTCCATTTCCCCCCCCCCCCCCCCCCCCCCCCCAGGAAATGGCACTTTCTACTAATTTTTAGAAGTTAAGTGGGAATGCCAGATGTTGCCATGAAATTTGGATAGTTCTCTTTGATTCAATTTAGTTCTCTATTGATTCAATATCGAAAGTCCTGGGGTTTAGTGAAGATCACTTGGGAATTTCCACTGTGGTCCAGACTGCCTGTAACAGCCTAGGCCATTGTGAGACATTCAGGGTAACTCGAGCCACCACTAAGTAGAATTCTAGCTTAGAAAGGACTGTTTTTAGACTCTTTACTGTGTACTAGTACCCCAAAAGACAGGATTTTGCATGGCTTCTCAGTCCACTATGTATGTTAATAAGAGGTGACTAGAGCTATTATTAATATTATTTTTTTGTATGTGTGTATGCTGCCTGGCAACTCAAGATGTAGGACAGGAAAAAGAATTTATTTTTTCCCAGTTGTTAAAGAAAATAGAGCCTTAGATTTTGGACCACGGTGAAACACAACTGTCCCAGAATATGCATTGTGGACAAGGATACAAATTTAAAGGAAAGGAAGCCAGTCTGTCTACATCCATTTGTAGCCAGAAAGGGAAGGAATTCATTATGTTGTGGTAAATTCTCAGTGAATATCACATGAGTGTTTCCATGCCTAGGCTTCCAGTTGTGTTGAAACGCTGTTGGGAAAGTTTGCAAGAATATTATTTTTTGTACATGCTGCTCAGACCTTCCTAAACTGTGGTAGGAAAATCCATTTGAAAAATGGCAAAAAAAAAAAAAGTTGAAAACCTGCATTCTTCAGACTAAAAGACTTTACAGTGGTTTAGTATCATTCACTGTGATCTAAATTCATTTGCATAATTCCAGTTTACACAAGATACTCATAAATGAAGTTCTAAGAAACACATTTTTTGTAAATGTAAAAATGGATAGAACAACCAGATTAGACTGCTATAATCACAGAATACAGAGATTTTTCTCTCTGGTGAGAGTGGGAAGCTTTTTTGTCTTGTATTTTTATGTAGAACATTGCCTTTTTCCTGTCCCACCCATCTCTAGCTCTTGTCCTGGGAAGTTGTGACCATCATGACATTATTCAGGGCCCAAGGCTGGTCCTTCTGTTAGATAGCAGGATGTGGTCCAGGGCTGTCTCCATAACTCTGATATTTGTGTCAGGTTCCTTAGCCTGTTCTGGAGAGTATTCATTAACTGTGTTATGGCACAAAAGTTGTACCAAATCTCCTTTT